AAGATTATCTTTCTATCCTAAAGCACTTTTTCTTGTCCAAGATTGCAAGAATGAGAACCCCATATGCACTCTATGGTCAACCATGGGAAAATGTAAAGATATGACCAGGCTGATGAGTAAGCACTGTTGTGCAACTGGTAAGAAAGTTATGGATATCCCAGCACCCAAAGGTACAATTGCCACCACAGGTTATGTTCAGAATTACTTCTGTCTAGATCTACTTTCAATGATATTCATAGTATATTTTTATTTGATGAAGCCAACGCGTGGATTGTGCAGGCCACATTATTCAAGTTTACAGATGTTTGTAACTCGAATTAATCTTCCTCATCCATAACAGTCTTCATTCCACTTTTACCTCAATGATATTTTCATTTTTGTTTTCCCAGTGTATATTATAATATGTTGCGGTTTTCATCAAACTGACAATAGTTTTGGCACTAAAAATGTCTATAATTTCTGGTTAAATGCTCTAAGAGAATAGAGAAAATTATCCCAAAAGGCTTTGAACAAAGAAATAAAGAAACCCGGATTAAAATTTAACCTTGGGTTAGCACTAGGATCGGCCTTTGAGCTACTGGGCCCTTATTTTTATAGGGCTTTAGGCCTTGTTGCAGCCTTAGTTGAGAGTAAAAGTTATGTATAACAGCCTTTGAGCAAGCGCCCATTATTAGCGATGCAGGACGTGAGTTTCTCATCTCGCGGGTAGATTGGTGACGAGTCAGGGAAAGGCTTGCCCCAAGACCTCTTGCAGACATCTCGCCAACTTGAGTTGGATGAAGAAATGCTCGTGCCGAAGTGCTAATAATGAGGGTTTCCTCGCACATTAGTTATGTGTCCATTTTTCCCATTAGTGTCATTAGCATGCAAAGATAACAACGTCAAATGTCCTTTCTGGGCTTTGGCTGGCGAGTGCTCAAGAGACCGAATATGGATGCAAGGAAATTGTAGGAAAAGCTGTAATCAGTGTGGAGGTGAGTATTAAACCTTTACAGCCTAACACCAGTATTCATATTCTCCATACTCTTCTCTGTACATTTACCAAGGTGCTTACAAGGAGAATTTGTTTAACGATCCACAGCTTGTTTAGTTGGTGATCATTTCCTTAATTCTTGTGACGTTAATGTTTTTTTCAAGGGGGGAAATAAATTCTAGTCACTCTTAGTGGTTAAAGGGTTAAGGCTACAGTTAGAATGGATGAAATTTTACTGCTCCTCCCAGATGAGATTTTCAGCATTTTGTTGGATTCGCAAGGATTGTCGGTACTCATCTTTACCTTTTTGAAATTACAGAGAGGAAACGAGTGACGAGGAAGCCGCCGGAAGATTAACAGAAAAATTCCCAGCAATGTAGATGGAAAATTAAGATTTCTAAGTCTTCAGTTTGCGTCGAAGAGAGTTTCATTTGTTCACGCTGGCTGCTCAATTTCAGAAGACATTGCCCATTCTCATCACAAGTTTTCGTGACTTTTTTTCCTCCACAGTTTGCCAGGATAAGGAGCAGAAATGTGCCGATTTAGCATTACTGAGAAAGTGCACAGAAGGTGACAAACGTCTTGTGATGCTGAGAGATTGCCCTCAAAGCTGCGGTCTTTGTCAAGGTAGTACCGATTAAAGTTGGGTGTTTTTAATTCCTAGTGGTATATGTACTTTTATTTGGTAGAATGAGAGTAGTCCGAACCTAAACTTAAATATGTCATGATTAAAAATGACAGAAAGTGGAAACTCTGGTCTAAGACGTGATTCGTAACACCAATTTGCATTAAATCTTATGATATTGACCGCACCAATCACGAAAAAAGCATTTTATTAGGAAATTTAGTGTTAACAACTGAGTTGAAAACGTAAATTGGCCACCGTAGAGGGTAAAAAAAGCTGACGTTTCGAGCGTTAGCCCTTCGTAAGAGCGATTGAAGCATTTTATTTGTTGGGTTTCTACATGACCTACATCTCCTTTTGTCCATGGGATGCACTGTCTGTGCAAATCACAGAAAAAAACGTCTTGATTCCAATAGTTAAATGCTTTTCTCTTGTAACGGATTGCACGTAAGTTCCATTGGATACTACATATGCCTGCGTTGGTTTCTTATACACGCAGCCTAAGGCAAATAAGCCAGAAAGTAAGAATCAAAGGAAGCCAATCGCTGCTTCTCCTCCAATAAAACGTCACAACAGGAGTTGATTCTTTTTCTCTGTTACAGTGTATGACAGATACGACTATTGCCCTGCTTGGGCAGCGCAAGGCGAGTGCAAGAAATCGAACTGGACGTGGATGAGAGACAATTGTCCCCTTAGTTGTAGCATACCACGTGAGTGTCTCGTGACCTCGCTATTTTGATCAAACGATTAAGCACTGCCTCTCAATTTTGATCTCTGAGAAAATCGTACATTAGGTTTACTCGCAGCCAGCGTCAGTATCTTGTTTTGTCAAGGAAGACTTATTTTTCTTGCGTGTCCTGGCTAAATATTTTTCAAAGTCTCGCCAACTTCCTAAGGCCTGGGGCTAGTGGCGTTTTATAACACTTTTGTGTGGCCACGTGATACTACGAACTGAAAGATGGGTTAATGGGAGCTGCCATCATTACATTTGTGATGACGTTTCTCTTACGTAATAACTCTTTTTCACCCGCAGTTTCTGAAGTGCAATTTTGTGGAAGTGTGAAAGATGGCAACTATCCCATCCCCCAGATTTGCACGGGATATGTATCCTGTTTTGGGGGAATCACTCGTCACAAGTTATGTCCAAGTGGAACACTTTTTAATCCCCTGAAGAAGTTCTGTGATTTGCCTGTTAATGTTAGGTGTTCGCAGGAAAAGGATCTCACTCTGAAAAGGAACCATGTGGCAGGATAACGTCTAGGTAAGGTTGGAGTGAGTTATATTCCTAATCAACTTGGTGACGGAAGGTGCATCTGCATTTTTCCTGTAACATAAAAAAGCGTGTTTGCCTTCCTGCGGTTTTATGCCATGCCCTGTGTTCAAGAGCGGCCTGATATCAAGAGTACCATGATCACACAATATGGCTTTCTATCAGTGACAGTTGCCAAACGTATTAAGTAATAAGAGTACTCCAAACACGATAAATATCTTCATTCTGAGCTGAATGATGTATCAAAGCGAAGCGTGCGAGCTTATATCGTGAACTATTTGGGCAAGTCGAAGTAACACCACCTGTGCTATACGAAACAGTCCACTGCAGTTTTTTAATGTCCATATTAGAAGTAGAGAAATATTTCATGGAATAATTTGTGTTTCGTTTACATTTTTAACTTAAGACGGAGAAGGTTTTATGAAAAGGAAAATGGATATCTAACTTGTTGTCAAAAGAATTCTCTCGCACCTATCACTGAATTCAGAGAAGGTTAATTTAAAAAGAAGCTAAAACATAGACGAATAAAGTAACAATTCTCCTTTCTTCCCTTTTCCTCCACTTTCAGGTGGATTATAAAAAGAAAACGAAAATTGCATCGATCTTGATATTCTCGCCGTTTCACAACGTCGTGTTTATTCTACTGTCACAAGAAGTGAACGAAGACTAAACCAAAGTGACTGAGACAGTTGTGATCATGTAACTTTATTATACTGAACGTTTAAAACGACAAATCTGTTGTTGTATGATATTTGATATCATATTGATACATTAATATTGATCTTGATTACTAAAAATGTGCTTTGAGAGACCCACTTTTTATCAATCGAGTGTCTTCAGATAATCAAAATACTTAGGTGCTGTACCTTATTAAATTTTGTGTTTTTTGTAAAAACTAAGTAAATCATTGAATAAGTTGTGAAATTAATATAGAAATAAATAGATTAATGAATTAAAAAATTGATAAATAATCAGACAAATAACAGAGGAAAACGTAATGAGGTTTACGCCATAACAAGGGTTAACTGTATACAAACTGCTTTCAAATAAAAGAAGAATACACGGAAATTTCATTTTTGCCGTAGTTAAATGTGGTTCATCAGTGAAACTAATAATTTCATTCAGCCGCTGAAAGCTGATAACTGCATCTCGTGAAAGCTTTTCTTGATAAACTTAAGATAGGTATTGACCTTTGAGTCTTGCCCTTTCTCTCTGTTAGTTTGTTCAACTGAAAAAAAAAACTTTTCGGGCAAACTACAGAACAGCTGGCTCGATCTGCCTCCACACACATTCTCCTTACAGTGTCAAATTTCTTTCCTCCGGGGCACTGCACGTGACTTGTGACGCCATATGAACACGCTATGTAGGCTTGGCACGTGGTGGGGGCCTGATAATTACCGTTTTCTTTTCCACCGCAAAACGAGGCTTCTGAAACTGAAAGACGGCTGGAATAAAAAAGACGTTAAGAAATACACTGGGTGTGTAGGATAAATGGTCTTCAGTGTTCTTTTGTAGTCAAGCTTCTCGTTAACTGCCGAGAACGTCCATTTATTGTAAGTACTAATGGTTCTTCTTTCAAGGATCATTCCCAAAAACGCTCCATATATTCCCAAAAATTATCCATATAAAAAGCCAGTTAAAATTATAGATAAACTGTACTACTGACCGAGTTTTTAGATTCCAATGAAAGGTTACGTTACTCCTTTTTAATCTCAAATTGCACCCACTTTTTAATGGCGGAGATGAAAATTAAATGATCTCCTGGGCGCACTTCAGCCAGCAAGAATTCAGTACAAACACTCCTGCTTCTTAAGCGGAAAGTTCAGGAGAAATTTTGCGTGACGTGCTTATTAAGCGATAAAATTAGGGTAGATGTTTGTTCGCAACATGACTGCATTCGGTGGATATACCCCTGACTTACAAGGTACGTCACAGCTTCGTGGACAGTGATCTACCATCCATGTCCAGTTGGATCTTTTACATTCGTTCATCGCAGACCAGGCGGGACATTGATCGTGTTTGTCATAACCTGGACAGAGAAAAAAATCGTAAATTTGAGTCCAGAAGCTTAGCCGTAGAGTTTAAATGAGACAAAATTTCGTTTCGTATTCTCAGCTCTGTTTGAATTGAGTAGCTGGGTAAACGAAGATTGGCAAAAGGTAATCTTCTTGTGCATCAGGCTCTTAGTAGAAGTATCTTGTAGAAATATGAAAAAAATTAACCAAAACTTCAAGGAGTCTTGTTCCTTATTCAATTAAACACTAAACTTCACTGGATCGCATCTCGATTTCAACCAAAGTAATCACCACGGCGAGAAAAAAAAACATTAGTAACAAGACAAGCAACCTAGGAGGTCAAGTAAACTCCCGGAAGAGCGGGAAAACACCGGCAACTAGGTCGCGATTACCGTCCTTACTGTCGGATTTGATTGGTTTAGAGTGTGATGCATGCCATTCTGCTGTATCGTTCACACTTGATAGTAAAAATGACAAAATCGATACGATTGAATTCAAGTTTTTTTTTTTCGAATTTCATTTGAAAATTGCTCCATTGATGCAGCGAGGCCTTACCTTTACACATGCCACAGCTATTCCTACAGTTTGTGTTCATCCACGATATTCTGTCCCCATACTTGCATTGTTTTAGTAAAGCCCAAATTGGGCACTTTGCGTCTGTATCTTTACAATCTTAAGCAGGAAAACAGAGATTATTTTCATTGAAATCTCCCAGCTCTAAACGACAAATAAAGATCGATACAGGTAACAGACAAGTAAATTTGATTGTTGTCTCGTGTAATCTGGTTCTCTTT